AACATTATTCTGGCTTACATTTATTTTAAAAAAAATCGTATTGCGGGATACTGCCAACGATTACCCTGGCGTTAGTGTCAGTAGACACGACTTTTTCTTACTTTTTCGCCGTACAATAAAAATATATGTCAAGACTTCAAAATTATGTGTCAGTAACAGCATAGAAAGTATTACATTTTTGGTACTCACTTCATGCAACCTGCAGTTCAGATCGTGGATGCAGCTAGTGGTACATATCGCATTTTTCCGAACCGCGAGACCACAACGCCTACAGCTTCAATTAGCTCCAATGTTTGTCTTCCACTCCATATACATCTTCATAAAGTGGTCACAGTCCACTACAAAGAGTCGCCAATCTGTCTCGTTTCACCAAAAAGTATGCCTACTAGTTAACTCTTTTATCTATAAGATATTCCTAAGTATTAAAACAATTTAGCAAAATTCCTACCTACCCCCCTCACCAGCTTTGTACGTCATATTTGCAACTGTTATCTTGAATCTCATCTCGTTGACCCACAAGCTTAAATTGCGAATAATGTAATAGACTTATCAACTGGGGTTGCCAAGTTACCGATTAGCCCACTATCACTATTGATTTCTGGTGTTCCCCCCATGGATCTCGTTTCCTTATTCTCCATGTGTGCTCTGTAAAATCAAGGCGAGAAAATACTGTAAATAAAATATATTATAGTTAGGTTATGTAACGCCGTTAGATAAATTTAAAAGACTATTTACTGTTGTGGTAAGACGACTATAAACGTTTATGTAAATGTATGATTAATCGATTCTTGTTATTTACGTATTTTACTACGCTGTTTCAACTATACTGGTTAGATAATATCGAATGAAGTAAAAGCATCATAAACCATAGCACATAGTACAATATTCAGCCATCTGTAGCGCCACCTCTACATAACCTCTTCTGCGAACTGAAATCAGGAGGAAACGGTCCGAATCCTATCGTGGCTTTCCCATGAAACTTCTCAATGAAAATAACTGGTCCAACAGTCTGGGTTCGAATCGCGTACCTTCTTAATGTGAATTCATCAGCCTATTAAATAATTCTGAAGATGGACCATTTTGATGAAAGCACACACTTGACCTCCCTGTTATGCATTTCCGTCATTGTGAAAATATAAAATAAATATTTTTAGGTTGCAATATCCTCAGATTCTGGGGCAGACCTAAACAAAAAAAAATCGTAGAATAACAAATTTCTGGGAAGTGTTCTAATTAAAAATTAGGTTTTGAAGACTGAAATCTGTCTCCTTCCTCAGCTCTATCAATTAGGCCCAATAAATTAGATCTTACCTCAGAACACGCACACATAACCTAGTTCTTCTTTCGAAAATGTTATTTCAGATACTGGAAATTAATTACAATAACAATTACACAGCACAATGCAGTAATAACACCATGGTGTATAATTACTGTTTTTTAAAGAGTCCATCTATACAAACAAAAACTCTTATAAGAAAGTAAATATACCTTATCTCTAAAATTTTTCTCATAATATCTGTAATGAAGATATACAGACAAAAATCAGAATGGCATCCCTGCACCTACAATGCTCCCAAATTCAGTAACATTTTATTCTGGCCAGATACAGTTCCATTCATTTGCACATATCCGTAACAGATATACATAACTACTCTGTTCACTTTCATAACAAAACAGTTTATAAAGTATTCCTAATGGGTGCATACTCTGCAAAAGCCACTGCACTATAAATGAGACACACTTCCAACTCAAACTTAGTATATTACAATGGAATTAAATTTGTTGTGACTTAACAGAGTAAAAATATGTCTTCCATTTATTTATTTAGCACATTGTGGGCGAAACTTAGCAGACGTCACACACCAATTACTTCAATCTTTTTTGGCAGGTTCAAGAGCTATTACAATGTTTAAATGGACATCACAGAAAAACAATAAAACTACCATGCCCTGCCATCTATGGAGCACCTCTTTAACTATGTGGAAAGACACAATCAGGAAGTACTATGTAATACAATACAAATCAAAACATAATTTTAATTTTAAATATACTACAAAAAAGGGAAGTCTTTTCTTTCTGCTTATTTCAATTCATGAATTTTGAAAATGTACATTCTACATATCTTAGATGCCTGCATAGCAGGTACTTTATATTTGTGTTTGACCACATAAATAAGTTTGTGAATTTCACATAAATTTTTAATAAAGGATTCTCTGAAAACCAACTTTGGTTTAATTTTCAACAGATGCAGCTGTTCGGAGTTAAAAGGTTTTAGTTGGTGTAACACCCATTAGATTAGGGTAGGTTAGGTTTAGTTATAAAAATAATGTTTTGTTACAGACATTTCATTTTGGTAATTTTACGTCTAAAACCTCAGACAGTTCTGGTACATGTAGGGTTAATATAAATAAAATAGAATAGTTGTAATTCACAAGTTCACAACGATAAAAGCTCAGACCGAAATATGAGATTCAAACAGAAACATATTTTACCAACAAGGCCAAAGCACATGTTCCATATGTACTATGAAGAAGGTTCAGAATTTAACGTATTACATAGCTGTATATCTCATAATTGAAAAATCCAAAGACTATGCTTCAATTTTCATAACAAAATATACCAGTATGAGATGAATGTGCTAAAATCAACTCAATACTCACAGTGGAAAAATCAGAGTTAAGGAATACGGACATACAGCTGACATCATCAACGTACAAATGTTCCAATGGTTCTAGTTAAGGTCTATTCAACCTCCTTAACTCTGCATTGAGCAATATGGTATAACAATAATACTGTAGACTTGTATTTAACAGGAACCTGGTTCGAAACTAGGCTGTGCTCACACATCCTCTTTGATCTGATAACCTAATGATATTTGGTGAAGAGTACAAATTATGAAGCTCCTTGTTATGCAATTTTCTTCATCCTCCTGTTAAATGTCCCTTCTTAGGTACAACCATTACCAACACTTGCTATTCCCTTGATGCAAAAGACAGTTTAACACCTACATAGGATTAACATCCCTGCCAGTAGCTCAAACTATGTATGTAAGTACAAGACACAAAAAGTGTGCCTTCATGTGTCAAACACTAACCTCACTAAATATCAAAAATGAGTTTACTACAATGGAATTGAGTTATTCATAACCCCCCCCCCCCCCTACAGTATCAAAAGTCTGAATCATGATATAAAGAAGTTTAAGCCAGAATTAAAAGTGGATCTCCTATCTCACTCCTTATACGCCAAAGAAAAATTCCCTTCAACCAAATGTTCTCAGCTATTATAAATACATCCAAGCAACTGTAGTAATGCTCTTTTGAGTAATTATGTTTGCAGTTATACTGTAAATCACTGTTATGACTACGTAATTTATATCTGCATTTGGAACAGTGTTGTGTTTGAGCTATGACATGTTCTACATCCTCAGCTTCGGCCTATGAAATGTAAATAAATTCTGTTCTGTTCTACATGAAAGGATGAATAATGAATCTGAACGCTTGCAGAAGAAGGCAGTCATCTCTGCTACTGACAAGTCTAGGAAAACTTGCTTCATTGGGTGAAGATGGTTAACAACACAAAAATGTTTAAACCTGGGACATAACCTCAACCATAATAATAATTCAATGATTAGTAACAATGTTCAGCATAATTCTTAGGTTATTTAACCGTACTCATTCAACTGCAGAGGTTATACAGTATTAAATAAGATAGTGAGTTAATCTAAAATTGGAAGGAGGCAGTCAAGGTCAATTTGAGGGTATTACTGTGAAGAGAGTAAAACAAATCACTACCAGAACAGCAAATAACCTGGCCTGAATTCAAACCAGGTAGCCACTAAGTACAAGTGCAGAGTGCCACTTTTACACTATCCTGCTCAGTTTGCATCAACTTCTGGATAAAACATCATGCCCTTTCATTTACACATCTGACAAACATTTCACGCGCAATTTCTCGATTCTACCGTAACTATTTTTTATTTACTCACTGTTACAAGCTGGCACGCACATACTGAATACTCGCCATTCTTGACTGTAGTTTCATGCTGTTCGATATCATATAACATCACCTAAGAAAAGCAAACACTAGCTCATGACACATCGCTTGATGAATCATTGGAGCAAGTTTTATCAGTTGTTGCTGGAGGAATGTTGTGGCTGTGGACCTTGAGGTGATCCCTGAGAGCAAACCTGCGAGCATAAGACGCCCCACACACGTGGCACTGGAACTTGAGTGGGACCTTGCCACTGACCCCATCCTCGTGAGATGACATATGTTTTCGAACCGCATAGAGAGATGAGAATGGCCGGTTGCACTCCGCGCAAGAGTACGGCTTCGTGTGGCTGTTCTTGTGGCCTGACAGTTGGATCAACGTGTTGAACTTCTTCGGGCAGAAGGGGCACCTGGACCAGAGTATCAAACTGATGTGCTAATCTTGCCTCCAAGAATGAGATGTGTGTATCACATGTACAGCAGAACTTCAACTTGAATCCCAAGTGAAACAAAAATTAACTTGTTACAGAACTCAGAAAATTTAGTCAAAGAAATAAATGTTTATCAACTGAAAGAAAAACTAAAGTTCAACTGTAAATGTGTTGCAAATAATACAAGAACTTAATTATAGGTGGAGAAGAGTATATAGAATTTTGGAAGCGAATAAGAAGTCCCATTCAGCAAGTTCGTTACACTCCAAACAATTATGCGCATAATTACAAGCTCAAAACCTGTAATGTTTTTAATTAAGGTATTTATTTCACAAAATAAAAACATGACAAAAGCATGACATTCATGTGCAGCTTTCAGTTTGACTGATTACATATAGACAAAAATAGGAAAGTGTAATTTTATATGGAAACAGATCATTACTGCCATATGAGCAAGAGTCTGTTTTAAACAGTGAATATCTGAGTTTAAACGCATTCACTACATCATAACACTTCCTTTTACACATGAAGACAAAGCATAAATTAAATTAAAGAGTAGAAAGATGGACATACTTGTACGCACGTTCATCCAGATGGATCTTGGTATGAGCCTTGAATGCCGTGCCGGTACGGAATGTCTTGCCGCACATCTTGCAACTATACGGACGAACACCAGTATGTCGCCTCATGTGCAGGGTCAGACAGTAGCGCACTCGGAACCGCATGCCACACATCGAGCACGAATAGGGCTTCTCCCCTGTATGAATGCGTTCATGCTCCACTTTGTCATGAGGTCGGAAGAAGCCGCGTCCACAGAAACCACACTGATAAGGTCGTTCAACCATGTGAGACTGGACGTGAGTTCTGAGAAGGTTCATGTTTGCAAATATTTTGTCACAGTGGATGCACGAGTACTCCTTGAATCCTCTGTGGATGCGCATGTGCATGTTGAGATGACCATGTTTACTGAAGGTCTTGTTGCAAATTTGACAGTCATACCTCAAAAGTGAGAAATGTTTTGCCATATGTTCCTGCATATAAATCAAAGTAAGTGAACTCTCCTCTGGAAAACAAGCATTCAAACACCAAACAGATAAAACCTTCGTTTTTTCAAAAAAAAAATGATTTTACAATACAACGTCCTAAATATTTCTTTCTTTATGTCTCACAATTCATCCATAGTTCAGCACCTCTACCTTATACCCTCTCCAAGCACTGATTAGATGTTTTCATTTTAATATATTTGAGATTAATTCAGTTTTTTAATATTTGAAAAAGTAAAAAATTGAAGAGAAGTTCAACCTCTGAAAATGACAGTAGAATCCAAATACAAATCTTACATTATCAGCACATTTAGGGTTGGAATTAAAAACACATTTAAGAAAATCTGAATTTGGATAAATTAATCATGTACAATGTTCAATATTTTTTACTGTTCATCATCTGAATCATAAACACAAAGAGACATTCCTTTATCTGGAAGTAAGTACTAAATAAAAATGGTACTTAAACGGAAACCTGTCTGGTTCACAAAAAGTACGAGCAGGTCATACCAACCTCTTTGCAGCTCTTCTCTATCTCCTTGTGGCACTTCACACATGGCACAGTGTTTTTCTTAGTCTGCACACCTTCCTCCTCAGGTACTGCGACTTCCTTTAAAACAACATCCATCTGCTCCTCTTGATTCTCCTCCTTTTCTTCCTCTTCATCTTCTTCGTTCACCAAATGTTCCTGCCAATGAACTCGCAAGTCCTCGTTGTTACCAAATGACTTGTAACACACTTTGCACACGAGCAAACCGTGCGTCCCGCCCTTCTCGGCTTTAACGATCGCATCCTCCTCCCCTGCCTCGGCGTCATCTTCGCTCCTCCTCGCAGGTAACGGTTTTGTGTGCACTTTCATGTGCTGTTTCAACGTTCTGTTGCTAGAACACATGTTGTGACAAACTGGGCACTCCAGGGGGACCTTCAGTTCTGTCCGTTCATGCATCTTGCTATGCAGTTTCAAAGCCCTCAGCGTCGTAAATGTCATATCGCACGATTCACATTTTACAGGTTTGGGCAACATTTGCACTTTGTATTTCCTCTTTGCCATACTCAGAACCTCCGTCTTAATGTTATGAACAGACTCCATATGGACTCTCATTGCTTTCATGTCACTAATATCCATATCACACATTTTACAAACCATCGTACAACCTTTAGCGACAGTACAAGAATGCCTCTCGAACGCAGATACATTACCGAATTCTTTCTGACACGTACTGCATGTAAACACAGAGATTGCATTCTCTGTTCCTTTATCACCAGGACTCATGATTACTTTTACCTCTGGAACTCTATTTACACCAAGATAAGGTCCTGGCCTAGTTCCACGACCTCCTGTTCCCTTTAATAAAAAATTACCACTAAATAATTTCTCGATACTGGTCCTAGTGTCCCTCTTCAAAACCAATCTCCTATTTTCCTTCTTCAGTCTAGCAGGTAAGGATGACGCAGACACTTTAACTTTATTTCCTGTGCTGGCATTTTCACTGTTCATTTCCTCATCCTGTTTAGTTTCCCAGAATTTGTCAATTTTCACTTCTTTACCGACATATTTCAGCTCATTAGTTAAATGCTTTTCTGTTGTATGAGCAGGCGCACCGACCCGTTTCGGATCTGGAACAATTTGCTTTATTTTTTCTTCATCCGCAACAACTCGATTCCTCTCCTTAAACCACGAACATGGTTTGGTATTTTCATGTGTTTCACTGTTAACAGCAGCACAATCCAACGTAGCCATCTGGTTTTCAGGATAAATTTCAGAGAAACCAGACATAAAATTTGTAGCATCTGTTGTTTCTTGCAGCTCTGCTGTCTCACTGGTATCATTTGACCCTGGTAAAACTTTCATATCTATCACCTGTTCGGCACTGGTTCCCAAAACTTCTTTTGAAGCCCCAATCAACTTCTCAAGAGCACTCTTCTTAACCTCTGGCACCTGAAAATCAAACAAAGCATTTCAATACACTAAATCTATGTAACTCCAAACTAAATGCTGAATTTACTTCAGGAATGACAAACATGCACTCTCTAAAAATCAAAAATAACTCTTTTACAGACTGTCTGTGTAGGGGAAAAAGTATTCATTATGCCTTAAAATGTTCTTTCATTAAGTAACTTTTTATTCTTAAGTTTGTGTTGTAATAGCTTGCCCAGTGGCAAAGTTTATGTGTTTGTTTTCCTGAGAAACCATTCACAAAACATAAGCCTTACTGTCACAACAACTGACATCCACATTTATTGCATCATGGTATCATACAACTCCTTTCATCAGTCAAATGTGACAAAAGGGAAAACACGCAATCTGAATTTGGCCACTTTCAAATCCAAGATCTTCAACACAGAAGTCCAGCACCTTATATTTGAGCCACCAAATCATAAACACATACCTCAATAACAACTTCCTGTCCACCGTGGTACATTCTTATGTGTTCTATAACAGAACTGAAGGTAATTCCACAGCTCGAACACGCATAAATCCCACAACCCAGCTGTCCGTCAGCTGGATCTTGCACGTCTGGTAAAACAGTTTCAGATTCTGAGCTACCTCTGAGCATTTCACCAGCTGTTGATAAACTATGCACAGCTTCACCACACTCCTGACTACTCTCTCCCACAAATTCACTTTTTTCAAGGTCACAGAGTTTCACTGGTAAGTCCTCTTCAGCTGTGACAGTGCTCCTGACAGTAATTTCATAATTTCCGCTTGCATAACTCTCTTCCACAGCGACAGTTGAATCTAAATATTGAGCAAGGGGATAATTACCTAGACAAGATGGCAAACTTGTAATATAATCAAGGCACAAATGTATTAGCAAAGAAATAAATTAACTCACAGAGAAACAACAAAGCCCTAGAGTCTGACAGAATTCACATCCCCATGCACTCACAACCAGTGACTATTAACTTACCTGTGGTAAGTGGACAAACAAATTTCCTGAGCTGTACAAAATAAGAGACAACAAAATAACAAACTGCTCCCTAAATGACTGACAAAGCGGCCAACAAAGCAGCAATGATGGTAGTACCTGAAGGTTCAACATCTCTAATACCAAAGCCTTTAAAACAGATCTAGAGCCATAAAACAAAATAACAAACTCACTTGAGTTTTTGATCACATCAGATCTACATCAAGAATGGAAACATGCAGTTGGAGAAAAAACAAAGTTTAAAAATGCATACTTTGCAATCTTTCATCTCTGTGCAAACAGTGTTGACATACATACAAAAATATTATTGATAACACTAATTAAAGGTACACGTGTCACACTGCAGAGAATATTTTCTGGTCACATTTTATTAAATGTATATAACACTGAAACATGGCAAGATGGGCTTAAGATCCAGAGGGAGGACTGAAAATATGTGAACACAAAATCAGAACACACTGAAAGAAGAATAGCTGAAATAACACAAAGCCAAAACCCAATCAAATGATTGTGAGAAGTTCATAAGCCTTTGTATTAACCCCAACACTATTAGGAACAAGGCAATCAACTAAGATATCTTAAAATCAGCAGCAGTCCCAAAAACTTATATGTGATCTGGACCTATAAGTCAAAAACTCAGCCACTCAGATGGTGAGATGGTCACCAGGATACATCTGTGGTGTATGAGAGTAAGTCACTGTGGTTACTTCAGCATGCATATACACCGCAGACAAGATATTTATCACGTACTATCATGATCAACTGCAACATCCACTTTCTGTTCAGTGATATCTGCACATTCACTTTCAATTCCAGTAACAGCAGTTTCCTCAACACCAACATCTGATACAAGGTACACTGATTCTGAACCATCTAGCTGGGTGTCAGCAGCAACCGCAATCACCTGTTCCACTACTTCCTGGAACATAAACAAAACAGAATGAGAGGATTTTTATTAGAAAATTATTAGCCTGAGTAGCATGGTGCTTATTAGGCACCACAGACAACTTTACTTTGCTTTATTGTTACCACTAACTTAAGTTTTCCCCAAAACATGTCACTGCAATATATCTTACCTCATGGAAAACAGACTTAATATTTTCTGCATTATTTAGCACAGTGACAACTTCTGTTTGAGGTGTTTCACTTTCATGTATTATCATCATCTCTTCCTCAATTCTGTCTTCTGTATTAATGTCAGAGTCTGCTGTACATTCTTCATCATTATTCCTAAAATTTCCTTTTCTGCACGTGCCATCCAAATGGTCAGCAAGCTGGAGAATGCTATCAAACCGCTGACTGCATTCAGGACAGTACACATTATCTGTAATACTCAGTAAGTGATATCTGAGTGACAGCTGGTTTGAAAATTCTTCATCACAACACAACGGACAGACTAAAGTTCCCATGCTTGTAGTGAAAGATACCTGAAACCTTTACAAATGAAGAATAGTTTTACTAAACACTTCAATAACGGAGAAAACAACACATGAAGAAGGACCCATAAATTCATAGTCAGAATTTTGCATCGTTCTACAAAAGGTAAATACTTACCGAGCGTTTGTTATATAAATATCACGCACTATCCTAACGGCAGCCTATCTAATAATTAAACCGTAATAACCGAAATAGACATAAAGGCTACATGCAACCCGTAAGTACTTTTTCAAAAAATCTCGAAGCACAAGGAGAATACTATGGGCATCGCGGAAAATCTCCATAACAAAATAAAACTTTACGGCCTACTTCAATTAACAATTCCAACAAAAAATACATTTCATAGTTGATTTATGCAACGTATACACTGATGAAATATTACGTATTGGCAACACTGACCATTCTAAATACAAATGAACTACGTTACAACGCAAAAAATCACTCAGTAGATGGCAGCATAGTACGGTACAAGTTAATGCTGCCATCAATCGCTACCGATTAGAACAAATATAGAATCAAGTTTATGCATCACTCAATTGATGGCAGAATAGTATGGATCAAGTTTGTGCTGCCGCCAATCGCTACCGATTAGAACTAATATACAATCAATTTTATGCATCACTCAGTAGATGGAAGCATAGTATGGGTCAAGTTTGTGCTGCCATCAATCGCAATTGTATGAATTCGCAAGATCAAGACAGTTCAAGACGATCTCTCACAAAATCGTTACGACAAAAACATATCTTAAGTTTGTGCTGCCATCTTTCAGGAGGTGTTTAGAATATGAATATATTTATAAATATTATTTGCTAAATTATGATATGATTAACATTTATTTATGCACTAATATCTAAAATAATGATGTTTGTTAATATGCTGCGTGGAGCAACCTTTTACAGTGTGTACTTATTGCTTTATTTCTTTATAGATGGCAGTGAATCAGTGGAAGTTTGTGCCGCCATGTCTTTCTTGGTAGTGAGTAAAAAGCGGGAGTTCAAAAATTATGTGATAGTAAATTTAGGCACGGTGCTTTGCGTTTCAGCAAGTTCTATTGTGTTAAAGTTTATAATAAGTGGTGCATAGGGTAGCCCTTACATGAATAGCTATGTGATCACGAAGTAAAATTTATAATATATTCATAGACGTTTGCCTACTGCATAATGCATAGACTTTCCAAGTGTGATCATAACCTGTTTTAACCACAACACAGTGACAGCAGTAAACCAGACATATTGCTCAAGTAAGTGAATCATTTTTGTTACATGTAATGCATAACAAATTCTCTTTCTTTCTTGGGGGTTTCATTTGAATCATGTTTCTAGGCTTACATGTTGTGGTTATTTAGTTTGGGCTTAATCATTTGCATTGTCCTGTGTCAAGGAGCTATTTGCAGCCATATATGAAGAGTGATGATACAGCAAAGAGCATCTTCCACTGTAGAAGTAAATTTTAATGTTGCAAATACAGCTGTTAATTTTTAATCTCTAATTACCATAGAGCATACACTTTCTTGGGAAGTTTATATTGTCTCATCACTCAAATTTCAGTCTTATTGAGTGTGAAGTTTATTTGTTACATTGAAAAGGTTTCACCACTGTGCCACTGTACCAGATGAAAAAAAGTTCACATATTTTTTATTCTGTTTTTGTTGGATGGATTTTGTTAATCTCCCCCCCTCCCAACTGCAGTTATATTTTACATAATCTCAGTGTTCTGTGTCTGCCAATCAGTATTATGTGCTCTTACTTTGTCCTGCTAGGATTTATTGACCTTCGTTATTCTACAGGCGTTAGTTTTTAGAATGTGACATAGCCACAAAATTGCCAACAGTAATTTCAGTTCCGCTCCTTGGTACAGTGAAACTAAACTGTAACCTGATGTGCTGATGGACAGACACAATTCCCCCCCCCCCAACTTTTGATGTTGGTAGTATCACTCTCGCCATAAAAGTTAAAATGTTCGACATTTTGGTCTCTTGGATGACTGGGAATTCAAAATTTGAAGTGTGCTGTAGTCATTGCATTCATACCAAGCTACATTAAAAAGCTACCCCTCGATTCAAAGCTTGTTAGGGAGTCACATGTACCAACATATGAAGTTGACGAAACCGTGGTTCTACCTAAAATGGATTTTAGATAAATACTATGGACAAGACGACCGGGGTATAGTATTTTTCCTTAGAATCTGCGTCCATACGGTCTCTGGGGCCCACCCAACCACCTGTACAGTTGGTATCGCGGTCGCTTCCCGTGGGTAAAGCGCGGCTTTGGCGTGTTGCTGACCGCTCACCCCATCTAGCGCCGAGTTTAAGAATGAGTAGGAGCTTCCCCCCCGTCCTCCCGGCCAACAAGCGCCAACATAGCGCGTAGTGGGACAGACAGCTTTAGTTTTTTTAGGTGTGAAGAGAATTGATCTGGTTCAGAACGAAAAAGGCAAGCTGTTTGCGTACTTTTATGAACAAAGTGGCCAGCTTTAAAAACACAGTTTCTGACCTGTTGAATGAAAAGTGTTTAATAAATTCTTGCACATTGGAGATGTTTCGTTTGATCTGCTGGTCGGTTTGTTGTTTTGTTCCCCCCCCCCCAC